GGCCCCTTGCAACCCACGTGCTTCTTCAATGCAATCGATGTGTATAGCAAGTGGCGAATGCGTTCCATTTGAAAGCTACAACAAAAGCTATTTAGCAACAATAAAAAACCCTTTCGAACCATTTCATTAAGCTACTTGCTAAATCCACTACGAAAGCATCAATCAAGATAGAAAAGGATCTATGAATCCGATCTTATCTAAATAATTAAAATAGAAAATGATGGTATAAAAATATTGTTGAATATCCAAATTTATAACAATAGTTCTCATTAAGTGGCCTAGTTTAAATGTTATGTGAAATGTACGTGAAAACATAGAAAAAAATAAATCCGCCCTAGTTAAACGTCGATTTGACTAATAAGTTTTAATAAAAAAAATCTCCAGATCGAGATTGGCCTAGATTTTTTTTATGACTTTCACATTTAAATGTTTGCTCATTGCTAAATTTACTAAAAAAAAATTATTTCCAAGGAAATATAGATTAAAAATCGAAGATTGCAAAAAACAAGCAAACTAAATTTAACATAGGCATAAAAGTTGATTTTTATGGGTTATTTGTGAAAAAGTTGTTTTTTTGCTCTCAAGAAATCCTTAACAAATTCATTAGATTTTAAAATGGCTTTTATGAAGAAAACTTGCATGCTGAATTGTTTTTATCTAAAGCCATTTTGCTTGATTTTAACCCGTTCGGATTTATGGCAGCATTTATGGAGGCAAAGTTGCCTGCAAAAAGTTAAACGTCAAAGTTTGTTTATCTTTCGATATTTAGTTGCGCTGTGGGATCCAGGCTTCTTCCAGGCGGTTTTCTCCCGATGGATTGGGAGCAGTTATTCGGATAGTTTGCGATACTGTTTTGCAACATTTTGCATTTCGAAAAGCTCGAAGCGTAATGGTTACAGAAGTGCACAATCCAACGATGTAGGGATGTACGCTTGAATGAAATTTTCGAAGAGTTGATTCTTTCGCCGAATAAAACCGCTGCTATGGATCGAAAACCAGCTAATCTCCGCTAACTAACAGTTTCAGTGGTAGGCTGTCGGTTGTTATTTCGATTGTCATATATTCGCAAGATCTGGAGAAAACTGGTATGATTTTCAACTTTCGACAATGTTTTATGAATTCGAGGGCCTCGCTCACTTTGCTCTTCTCCGCCAGATGGTCAGTCATCGATGGTGTGCTGGTACTTCTAAGGAAGTAAATTTTGCTCGAATCGACTTCAATTTTTCATCGTACTTCGTCTATCCTTCAAGATTTCTTTGTCATAAATTTGGCTTTTATTAACTATGAGGAACCATATCGTTTAAGCTCAATTTGTAAACAGAGTAATTGGGGAGTCTATGATGCACTTTAAAAAACCTAAAAAGCAACAATAAATGCTTTTTGCTCTAATGCAAAACCTAATGGTTTTATGGTTGCTTTTATAAGGATAGAACACGTTTATAAAGTATTTTATTTATATTTCCGGCTTTTTTTTCAAGACAAATTTAAAGCACTGCCTACATCTTTATGGCAAAGTGAATCCAATGGCTTTTCAATGCGTTTGTAGTAGAATGGACATAACAATTACATATTTACCAAAAAAGAACTTTACAGTGTGGTTCAACCCAGGGTGGGAACCTGCACGTACTTGGCAGCTTTACCCGATCAGAAGAAAATAATGAACACCTAATTCTGACCTAATATCAAAATTTGGTGTTGATCAGCATGCCATAAGAGTTTTTTTTGGTCTTTATTTAAGATATTTTTGGCCATAGGCTAGTTCAACTCTTAATGCCATAAGAGGTAAAATACCAAAGAATAATACAAAAATTGATATTTGGATACCAAAAGAATACCTGTGTGGTATTGTTTTGGTATTGCAATTACATAATTTGGTATTGGAATGGGAACATTTTTTTGGTGTTATTTTTTGATATTTTACCTTTTATGTCAGGCTCATCCATACCAATTTGAGGTATCCAGATATTCGTTCCTGCTCGGGTATGGTGAGAACCAACTCCCACACACTGGTGAGATCAGTCGCAGAGCTAAACAGAACGACCACCACATCCGGCACTCAGGCGGATCAAGAGCCATTTGGAATATAGGCCCTTGCAGTGTATTCACCTCTCAATTTTCGAAACCGTTTGTGGTATTGCCAGATTCAGCTAGTAACCTATCCGCAGTCCAGGGAATTCAATAGTTCATCTCCTAAGAAAATAGCCTTTGTCTGGATCCCGGGGCACTTTGGGAGCAAGGACAATGAGGAGGCCGATCATCTCACGGCCTCAGGCAGCTTATAGATTATAGATTAGATTATATTTTACTGAAATTGATGACTAAATTCCAAAATTACTGATAACACCAGTATATTGGGCCTTATTGGCTTTGAAGCAAAAACTTTGAATTGCATGCGGTAGAGCTCCAGACTTAAGCAAGCAGTCTGGCACTCCAAGAATGCAATCAGCCGGCCGATCTACGAGTAAGCTCTGATCGCTCAAGCTGGACTAGCTCACGTCTAGTTTGAGTTTAAACAGCATTACTCCGCATCCATAAACCCATTTCTTCCTTTCCAGCTTCAGCTAAGATGGTCAGCAGAACCTCGCCCGTCAGCTTCCAATCGTCTTCGAAAACCTTAATTGCCTTCCCTTCAGAACGGTGTCAGTAAAAGTATCACTGTAAACTTCGCTTTTCTTATTTACCTCGTTGCTCGTGCCGACGAAGTTTCTTCCGTTGTCGGAAAAGAATTCAGTCGGCATATCACGTCAGCAGGCGAATCGACAAATTGCCATTGTCATTAAAAATGTGAACAAAGTCACCCAGCGTTTCTCTGTGTTGCGACCAACTGTGATTATAATCGGACCGGAATAGTCCACCCACGTAAATCTAAACGGACGAAAATTGGGAGTGAGCTGTTGACCAGGACGCAGTGTACCTTCTTCAGCTGTACCCTCATATGCGGGATGTAGAATCTATTCTTCCGATTGGAACAAGATCTCCGGAGCTTTGAACCAACGAGCCAAGTTGTGGCCCGTTGATCCACTTCGTCCAGCACGTTGGTACCCATCAGACGCCATCGTACGATTCAGGTTATCATCAACTCGCAGGGCAGTGAAAATCTTGTATTTCCACAAGTCAGATACGATCCAGGAATGGTCTGTACGCGAAGTTGTCCCTAGGAACACCCTATTTACTTCCAGATTGTGACTCTCATTGATTATGCCCGCCATTCTCGCATCGATTACGGCAGCTATCAGCTCCAACCATGGTATAGTGCTCGGCTTTAGTGGTACAACCTGAAACTTGGCTTATACCAACGAACACCTCCGGACAACATTGATTTACAAACAAAGGTGTATTACTAAGTGAGGTTACATCTAAGGTACCTATAATGCGTTAGTTCTCACGTATAAGCTGTATCGAAGATTACAACAAAAATATTTTTAATGCAAGGTTGAAAACAGCAATTGATTTATAATTTATTGATAATAAAAAAAAACTGATCTCGGCTTTTAGAAACAAAACAAAAATCCAACTTGTAGCACGCTTTCCACATAATTTTGCGAACGATGATTTGGCATTAAAGGAGGTGAACTAGAACGAAATCGTACGAAATTAACAGTTTACGTGTCTTGTTCTCGACTTTACGCTATGATTATTATGCTGATGATGAAGAATATCTGTTCGAGCCCCGATAATTCCATACCTTTGCTCGCTGCTCATGGCTCGCCGGCCATTTTTGGTTTGTCTAAGTGTTAGAATCCGGTTCTTAATACTGCAGCAAAATGTGTTCCTATCTCTTCTCATTCAAAATTACAACGCAGCAGCGTGACTTACGCACTGCAAGAATATGATGCAAAATCCCTAATAGCTTGAAGGTTAATATACTTCTTATAATATTTACACTCGAGTATTCTGTTACTCACAATCTTTCGAAAATGTAATATCAGTTTGAGATGGATGCGTGTCTTCTTAAATACTTGTAACTTAGGCGGATGTATTCTAAAGTGTTTTGCTTCATGGTTAGTAGTGAATGAAAGCAATTAAATTATATTCTAGTGCACTGTTAAGCTTCTGCATTTTGTGTGTGTATGTGTGTGTGTGTGTGTGTCTATTGTATGGTTTGAGGTTGCATTTGTGCCTTTTTTTACCGATATAATCATCAATCAACGATGGCAACGAAACGCGCAGCAAAAGCTTCAGTTTAAGCGTAAAATCAACCGATGGAAGCCATTTTAAAAACTTTCATTATCCTCTAAATTTTCCGTAGTTTTCAGTACTAACATATCGAACTCCTTTGGGTCTCCACTGGCACTGTTTCTACGCGGGGACAGCCTACTTGTCTTGTGCCGATGTTGCCGATGATAAGATGGATTCGGCCTACTGCTGCTGCCACTGTCCCATAACCCACTATTGCCACCGCCATCTCCCTTCTTGCTATGCCTACTTCTTCGGTCGTGTAGTTCTTCATCAATTCTTCCGCCACCACCGCTCAAATTGCCAGCCTCAAGATCTGCGGCCGTACAGGTGACGGCCGATTCGATCGAGTGGTACGAATCGTTTCTTGTTGCTCCTTTGACTGCGTTGCTTTTCAACATGAAACTAAAATCGTTCCATTTATCGTTCAGATTGGCTAGTTTCTGATTGAAATTATGCGCCAACGATAGGCTGAGGGCCATCTTGAGACGGCCACCCACTGGGCGTTTTGGTGTGGTGGGTGGCGTGATGATCGAAAGTGAAGACGAAGTCGAAAGGCGATTCAGCTTTCTGTTGGTGTCACTACTGTTGCTGTTTTGGCTGTTTCTGTTACGTAGCATGACCATTGCTGTCGCTGCTGCTGCCTCTTCGCTGCCATCATGATAGAATGCACCGCTGAATGCGGCGCTGGCTCTGCTACTTCTGCTTCTGCTATGATGAGGGGGTGGTAATGGTGGCTGGGGTTTATTTAATAATCAATCTCTATAAATATAACTACAGTTTTTTGGGCTCTCTTGTGGACTAGGACTGCTCGATGGAGGCGCCGGACTAGAACTACTATTGGACATGACTGGGGAAGATCCGGAACTGGAATTCTGTGGACTATCGGAACGATGTTGCGTTACTGTAACGGGGTAGTTGGTTAAAATTTAAATCTTTTTTTAAGAGCTTTAAACATGCACACTAGGGTGCTTCATTCTGAAAAAAGTGATGAATTTCTGATGGGCCACCCTCCAGTTCGATTCATAGCCCCAAAATATGAACCTGTGCAAAAATTGGTAAAGATTGATGAAGGTTTAGAGGTCGCGCCAATGATTTGAAATTTGTATGGGAATTACTATGGAAGAATTTAAAAAATCGCTTATATCGCTATAACTTTGCTTCTACTTGTCCAAATGTCGAAAAAATTTAGTATGTTATTGCTATGGCAATAAACAAAAAGCCTACAGTTGCTACGCTCAGTTTTGCAGCGTATCAAGAATTATAAAAATGTGAAAAAATGGCAAAATAGGGTAAATTGACAGATGAATATGTACAAGGCAACAACGCCAATTTCATCGCAACAACAACAGGCTTGTTGATCATTGTCATGACAACCACATATTTTTTTTTTTCAACGTTTGGACAACTACAACCAAAGTTAGAGCAATGTAAACGAAAATCAATAATTTCCCATACTAATTCACCAAAATCTCCATACAAAATCCAAATCATTGGCGCGACCTCTAAACCTTCATCAATCTTTACCATTTTTTGCACATGTTCATATTTTGGGGCTATGAATCGAACTGGAGTGTGGCCTATCAAAAATTCATCACTTTTTTCAAAATGAAACACCCTAATGCACACTGCCTTACCTATGCCATGCCGGGGCGGCTGCCTTTTCATTCGGCCGAGACTTCTGTTACGAGTGTTGGTATTAAGGACCTATATAAAAATGCTATTTTTTAATTATTCTCCGTTATCAACAAGTGATTGAGTGTTTCATAAAAATATGGGAAAAAATCATATAACTACTCCATATGTTAAAATTGTTCTGATTGTGTTTAATTTGGCTACGTTTTGATTAAGAAATTAAATTTTAGTAGAATTACTTCAGTGTTTGTGTTTCATCCAAGTACGTAGCTAGGTTTCGTAATAGAGGGGATTTTTGTTTTGGTTGAAATCGGTTTCAAAATTAGATTTTTGGATAAATCGTATTTATCGTTTTTTTTTTTCCATGGCTGAATTATCTTCATTTTTATCAAATATTTCCTTGTCAAACCTCCTCTTGCATAATTTTGGAATTCTAACGGGATTTCCTATATAGGGTAAGTGTACCAGATATGGATGTCTGTTTCTATTATTGTGTGTTCCAACTATGGAATTCCCATTTGCCATAATTGTAACACACTATAATTGGAACGTAAAGCCATAACTGGTACATCTACCCTATATTTTCAACAAAGCAGCCTATGAATTATCTCTAGCAATTCGTTGTACAATTTTCTTTGAAGCTCAAAAGCAGTCCATAAAAATCAAAAGGATTCCTTTAAATTTTACTCCATATTCCCATCAAATACTCATTATAATTCCTTTTGAGCGTTTCTTTGAACTCGATTTCCTTGAAATTCTTTTCGGAATATCCTTTGGTATTTTACTCAGAATGCCTTGCAAATTAAATTCCATTGGCATTCTCATCAGATATTCCTTCTAACATTAACCAAACTTTTTCCTCACTCTATTCTATATCAGCTTATTCTCCGAGTGACGCTGGAATTTTATTCAGAGCTTGCTTTGAAATTCTAGTCAGAACTCCTTTTGTATTTTCTCCAGAATTCCCTGAGTATTGTTTTTTTAAAGGGTGTCCACGATGAAATTGCCACACACAAAATTGATTCGCAAAATTCGAGTTTTCATCCGATTGCCATCAAATTTTCAGGGATTGAGAAATAACTATTAAACTTCATTTTACCATTTTACTCGTATTTTATTTACAGTCCATACGCAAATGCCCGCACCTTGGCCTTAACCCCGGCCATAAGATTCTGCACAACCTGTGAATCAACCGTTTTTTGCATGTAAACCCATACTTTCTTCAGTTCCTCGACTGTCTTCACTACCTTAGGTCGTTTAAGAAGGTGCTGCTTCATAATCGCCCAGTACTTCTCGATGGGGCGGAGCTCCGGAGTGTTGGGAGGGTTGAACATTTTCGGCACGAAATTGACTTTATTGTCCGCATACCACTTCAGCACGTCCTTGGAGTAGTGGCATGAGGCCAAATCCGGCCAGAAGATTGTTGGGACGTTGTGGGCCTTCAGGAGAGGAAGCAGCCGCTTCTGGAGGCACTCTTTTATGTACACCTGTCCGTTCATCGTGTCCTGGGTCACGAAAGGTGCACTCCGCTTCCCGCACTTGCAGATGGCTTGCCAAACCAGGAATTTTTTCGCAAATTTGGACATCTTCTGAGTGCGGACATGCTCCGGAACGCTGAACTTATCCTTGGCCGTGAAAAACAGGTTGCCGGAGATCTGTTTGAAGTCGGCCTTCACATATGTTTCGTCGTCCATGATGCAGCATTCAACTTTCGTCAGCATGTTGAGGTACAACTTCCTGGCACGGGTTTTGGCGGACTTGTTCTGCTTCTCGTCGCGATTAGGGGCCTTTTGTACCTTGAACGTTCGAAATCCAGCCTTAGTTTTGGCCTTCTGGACAAAACTTCGGCTTAGGTGCAGCTTCTTAGCCACATCCCTAACAGAGGCGTTCGGATTTCGGTTGAAGGCCCCAACTACGCGGTTGTGATTTTTGGTGTTGTACGGAATACTTTTTCCTTTACTTCTGGGCTTCCGATCGGTGGTCAACCGTTCCTCGAACCGCTTAATCACTCGTGACACCGTGGAATTCGCGATTCCCAACGTTTTAGCGATGGAACGATGCGAGAGATCCTTGTTCTCGTGATGAATGCTCAAGATTTTATCACGCACGAGCTGTTCGTTCGACTCCATTTCCGCGAGTTTTGATCACAGGACTTTAAAACTTGCAGGATGTAAATAATGCACTATGAACTAAATCCACCCAAATTTTCATTAAATTCTACCCAACGGTTAAAAAGTTAGAGCAATTTCATAGTGTGGCAATTTCATCGTGGACACCCTTTATGCATGGTTGATTTTGTAATGAAACAATGACAATCGCGTATATTTCGGATTTAGTTTATCAAATTAAAACAACAGATTAGATTGTAACGTTAACGTTAACGCTTTAACATCATCGTTAACAACACATGAAGGAAAGGGAAGGGCAACATATCCATGGATATGGTAGACTATAAGTTCCTGGAACTCGGTGACTTCAGGACAGTGCTCACTTTTTAATCCAATATGGTGAATACCTTCAAAGATTGTAAAGCTCAATCCAAGATGGTGACTTCGGGTTTGTGAAATTGCCTCGGAAACCCTATAATATAGAAATCTACGGAACTAACTCGACGAGTAGAAGTCACAAATAACAACAAATATACTTTGTTGTTTTGGGATCCAAGACGGACCTTAATCCAAGATGGTGATTTATGATTTGTGAAAATGTCTAGGTAGCCCAACAGTATAGATATTAGACTGATGCAACATTTCAAACGTTCATTCCATAGAGCTCAAACAGTTCCAAATCCCAAAATTTAAACTCATTTAGTTTAAAACTGCCTGTGCACAAACCATTTGAAGTTTATATGGGAATTAATATGGGAAAAGCATGTGATGTCTTATGATCATGCTCTATCAACTACTCAGCAGGCAGCATTGGTGTTTCTTCCGCGTGGTATAGAGCACAACAATGTCACACTACACAATTCAGTTTTGCTCACAAAGTAGCTGCTTGATCATGCCATAAGATTAGCTATCTCTTAATTAATTAGTAACTATTTCCAGCGTTCAGAATCATAAGGGCCTAACTGCAACGATCGATTATCTTCATCGATTTTCTCTTCGCATTACCACAGTTCAGTGAACTGATTTTCCGAAATTATCACAATACAGTGTAGAGAAATGTTAGCAAAAGCAACATCGAGAAATTCTAATCCAGCCGAGTTATTAAAAAAAGAGAAAATTGATCAAGAGAATCGATCACCGTAGTTAGGCACTTATGATTCTGAACGCTAGATTTCTTTTAATGTTTGCCTGGAATACTCTTGTGAGCAAAGTTGTAGCTGAGAAAATTTCCTATTAGAAAATCTATCGAATTTTTTGTCAGAGCAGTATGGAAAAAGGCTAGAAGTCTATGATCAACAAGTTTGGTAAATTCCATATAATCTTAAAATGGTTTGTGCCAAGTCAGTTTCTTTCCAAATGAGGTCAAATTTTGGATGCACCCGATTTTAATCAGGATTTAAAATCGTTTGAGCACTATGGAGTCGAAAGTAGCTCGGAGACTGACTCAAGTGCTATGAGTAGCTCCACTTTTTACGAAATTGAGTAAAATTTGTATGGAAAAAAAAGTTGAGTCGACTCAAACTCGGGAAAAGTGGATCAACTCAAAAGTGAGAATCCAGGAAAATCCATGGAAGTTTGAATCAGTCCAGGAGTATACTAATATACTGAGTGAAACCTCTATTTTCCTCACATTCGATAAGTTTTTCCTGGAAAAGCACGAAAATTTTACTCACTTTATGTGGAATATATCGCAAATAGGTAGCCTCAAAATAATGAATACCAATTCTTGATATATTCCAAATAAAGTTGACAAATATTACAAAAACATATTTTGACCTTACTGACTACCATAAGGTCAAGTTATGGTTCGCGTTTATGCGGGAAATACTGCAAAGGACTTTTGAGACTTTGGAAGCCGCTCCCTGCACTGCACACTCTCCTATTTGCTTCCACACTGTTTTCCAACTAATCTTCGAGAAAGCGATCCACACAAAGAGCGGTACACACCCGTTGCATGGATCACTTTCTTGAAGATTATTTGGAAAAGAGAGTGCGAAGCAAATGGGAGAACCACGCTCTCTTTGTCGAGTGTTGTGCGATGCATGCAAAAAGGTGTTTTGCAAACGTTCTGACGTTCTGAGGCGCATGGTTGGCATACACAGTTTTGGTCACGAACTGCTCATTTGCTAATAACTTCGCATACATTTTTTTGAAGCAGATAGAATAGAGTAGCTTGTTATGTATAAGTAAAAAAGTAGATTTTAATTATAGTAATAAACTATATTTGTTTTTGCGTTGTATAAATGAAGTTTGAAATGCTCGCTGCACATCTCGGACTTTAAGTATAAAAATTCATTGGCGTTGCTTCAAATGTTAAGATTTACCTACTCTTAGCATATCTATACTAAACTATGATCCTGATCTATCAATTACATTAAATATAAACAAATTTCAACAACTGAGTGAAAAGTTATTAACAAATGAGCAATTGGTGTGTACAGCTGTGCATGCCAAGCATGCTGAGGCGCTTTCCAGCCAGGATGCCTACAGAACGAGCTCAACGACTAGAAGAAAAGACCAACGGTGCTATTTTGGGATCCAATGTAGTGGATCTCAATCTAAGCTGGCAACTTGCGGATTGTTAAATGCCTCGGAAACCCTACAATACGGGTATCTACGGCTCGATACCGTTACAGTTTTTTAAATGAATTTCACAAATCGGAAGTTGCCATGTTGGATGCAGATCTACCATCTGAAAATGGTGCTCGACATCGATTTTAAATTTCAAGCCCATTACGCAAGTGTTGCAGCCATGATTTCTGACTATGGTGGTGTGTTTTTTAAAAGTGAAAATGGTTTTTGCAATATTAAAGCGATTAATGATCTTTAAACCTTGGACAAATGCTCTTTTACTGCGTAGCTACTCAGAATTACTGTCCTGCCATTGAGTTTTTAATCAGAGGAGCGGAGCGACGCGCCATCGTCTAAAATAAGCTCCTAAAAGAATATTCTAAAGATAATGCTTCTAAAAGAAGCTTCTTAAGAGAAAACAGTGAAAAAAGGTATCTCAATATACTTTTTCACTACAAATAGGACATATCGCATAGCAAACTATTCCCAGGAAATATGTTGAATTAGTAGAATATGTGGAATTTGATCTCACAATAAATCAAGAAATGTTTTCAGTGGAATCTTTTTTTTAAGAAGCTTTTGGAGCACGTTGAAATAATTTGTCGAAAAGTGAAAGTGCTTTCGGGGCAAAGAAGAAGTAAGTAGGACTCCTAGGGGAAGCTGGAAGGAGCTTACAAGATAAATCGTAAGAATCTTCCGGTTAAAATCAGAAGAAATTTCCGGAGGATATCTGAAAAAAGATTATGTCAGAAGTAGGCATAAGTACATGTAGTAGAAGTTGGAAGAAACCTCCAGGAATCTTTCGATGGAAGTCGTCAGAAACATTCTAATAAAATTGGAACAAGCTTCCGCGGATAGATGGAAGAAACTTCCTGGGAAAATAGGAACAGCCTTCCTGGGAAAAGTCAGAAAAAAACTTTCTGAAATAGTCAGTTTTGAAGTCAGAAGAAACTTCCAGGAGATGTACGACAACAACTTCCAGGAGAAGTCAGAGGCATCTTTAAAAGCAAATAAAAAAAAAAAAACTTCCGGAGGTAGTTAGAAGAAACTTCTAAAGAAAATTGGAAAAAACCGAACATTGGGAGAAAAAATTCCCTGTATTAGGAAACTATTAAGCTGGGTTTAGATGATTCAAGTCAATTGATCAACTCACTTGAATTCAATTGGCTTGAAAAGTTGAACCTGGTCCAACTTTTTTCAATTCAAGTCAGTTGAATGGAATAGTTTACACGTTTAATTCGCGTTCAAGTCAATTGAATTCATTATGTAAAGCTGGGTTTATATCCCGTACAGACTATGGCTTATATCATGTAATATAGGCTGTCTTGCAATGAGCACTCATACATAGGATTTCCAGTGAAAACTAGATGTATGAGTGCTCATTGCAAGACAGCCTATATTACATGATATAAGCCATAGTCTGTACGGGGTATAAACCCAGCATTACAGAATTTTTTTTGGCAATAGAATTGAGCGACAGAATTAAGCCTTGACTTAAATTTTGTACAAAAATTTAAGGTTTTTTTTCTTATTCATCGTCTTCTTTTTCGCATTTAAAGCTTATTGCTTACCTCATATTAGCTTATTGCGTGCTTTCAACTTAGTGATGCACGTCCACAGTTATTAATTGAGAGCTTTCGATGCCTGTGCCATTTTTGCATTAGAATAATTGTGTAGCAATTACATACAATCATACTTAAAAAATCCCAGGGAAATTTTCCAACCTGAAAAATTACTAGACCGGTCCGGGAATCGCCAGCCACCTCCAGCATGCTTTGTAGCTACGCATTTACCGACTGAGCTCCAGTAATTGTAGGTATCATCGGGTTTTGGAGGAATATCGAACTACGGTGGTAAATATTTCAAATTTGTATGGCAAATGTGTTTATAGTAGTCTGCATTTCCATAGAACTGGGGTGAATATCGCGTTAGAGAGAGATCTCCAAAATCTAAACCCCCTCCCTACACTGCGCCACTGCGTTCCGTAGATATCCATATTGCAGAGTTTCCGGTGCATTCTCACAATCCGAAATTACCATGTTGGATTGAGGACCGTCATCTTGGATTTAAAATTGGATGGCCCACCATCTTGGATCTCAAAAACACAAGGTTACAAGTTGTTCAGCATATTTTGAGTAGTTTTTGGTTTTTTTACAAGCAACTGAATAGTTTCGTTCCGTTTCTCATATATATTTTTTTCCATCTAAACTGTCAAGTTTACCCGCAAATCCGGATCATAACCAAATTCGTTCAAATTTAGAAAAGGTGCGGGGTCTTAAAAATTGAAATAGCTCGTGCGAGGGAGTTGTGATCCGCCATACAAACTTGACCCACCTTAGAACCCATATTGTAGAGGCATTTTCACAAACCGTAAGTTGCCATCTTGGATTAAGGTCCGCTATCTTGGATTCCAAAATAGTACCGACTGGATAGACTTCTTCTCACCGAGCCCGTTTCGTAGATGCTAATATTACAGGATTCATGAAGCATTGTCACAAGCTAGAAGTCGCCATCTTGGATTGAGGTCCGCCCTCTTTGTAGGTATTCACCATCTTCGATTTGAAATTGGACTCTGGATAAATCATCAGAACTTCCCTTCTTCTTCTAGGCTTTTTACGCTTTTGTAGTGATCTGTTTTGCCAGCTCTCTCAACTAAGATCACGCTCACAGTTATTAATTGAGACCTTTATATGCCAACCAATGCATGAATTTGTATATTGTGTGGCAAGCAATGATACTCTATGTCCATGGAAGTCGAGATAATTTCTAACCCGAATAATTTCCTCGACCGTGCCTTTACTCGCTTGGCTATACGAATATATGAGGCCCCTGGACATTTGAATATCATCTTCCAGGTTAACACCACACAGGTTTGTTTTGAAATTTGAGATGCATCGAACAAAAATAGGCACATAGCTAAGGGCCTCTCTTAGCTCAGCCAATAAAGAGGCAGCTATAAAGCAAGACCATACTGGAGGCGGCTGGGTTGTATCACAGAGGTAACTGTAAGACCAGCAGGTCCCGAAGAAACGTGCTCAACTTTTTGGCTCAGCTCTGGTACTCTCTTCGGTCCCAAGCTATTCGATTCACCCCTCGAAACATAGGAAAATCCAATAACCCCTCATTTTATCTGTCAAACTTTCATAGCGAATCAAAACAAACATAGTGTAGTACTAGAATTTCGACTAGAATGGGATACGTTAATCGTTTGCTTGGGACCAATAGAATAGTCAAGTAGTGAGCCAATTTAAAATCGTTAGTTTCGTATTGATTGTTGGTTGTATTCCCGGTCCAGATTGTACTCGCCACACAGTAATACCTACAATCAATACGAAACTAACGATTTTAAATTGGCTCACTACTTGACTAGCCTTTTGGTTCCAAGCAAACGATTAACGTACCCCATTCTAGTCGAAATTCTACTACTACACAATGTTTGTTTTGATTCGCTTGACAGTTAAAATGAGGGGTTCGTGGATTTTCCCATGTTTCGAGGGGTGATTCGATTAGCTTGGGACCGAAGAGAGTACCAGCAACAATCAATACGAAACTAACGATTTTAAATTGGCTCACCACTTTAGTAGCCTATTGGTCCCAAGCAAACGATTAACGTACCCTATTCTAGTCGAAATTCTAGTACTATGCAATGTTTGTTTTGATTCGCTATGAAAGTTTGACAGATAAAATGAGGGGTTATTGGTTTTTCCTATGTTTCGAGGGGTGATTCGACAAGCTTGGGACCGAAGATAGTACCAGAGGTGAGCCAAAAAGTTGAGCACGTTTCTTCGGGACCTACTTGTCTTAGAATTACCTCTATGGTACCAGAGCTGAACCAAAAAGTTGAGCACGTTATTTCGGGACCTTCTAGTCTTAGAGTTACCTCTATGGTAATACTAATTCAAAAATGGTACAGGCTTAGAAAGCTCTCAATCATCAACTGTGGAAGTGCTCGGAGAATACGATCCCTCAAGTTAAAAGAAGTACAAGAATATGCACACAGTTTGGTCTATGTGGGCCTGATCTATTTCATTGTGCCTGGTCCAAATGTGGCATAAATTTGGTCCAAAATAAAACTCTGAAATTAGTCTGAAATGTAAAAAAAACATTTAGGATCTAAACGAAAAAATCCAAACTTTAGATCTTTAAAATTGTTGTGAATTGCAGAATCTTGAAGATATTTGAATATTTTCTTCGTTTCTTTGCGTTTTCTTTCTAAAACAACCATATTCAAGCTTAGTGGTATACACATTTGTGTTGATAATTTAAATTTAGAAATAAAATTCAAATCCTGCAACTTTGGGGCTGTTCATAAACTACGTTGTCACTTTAGAGGGGGTGTTTGTTGGCAAGTGTATACGATCCATACAACTTAAAAAAAATGCTTGTCGATTGTCTACGCTGAGGTAGGAGAAGGGGTTCTTTAACCTCTCAAAAAGCGGTCTACGTAGTTTATGAATAGCTCATTTAGAGAAGTTTCGACATTTCAAAACATTATATAAATACATAGTGTCTTCGATTTTTTTTAACGATCATGGAGCTTAAAACAAATTCAAGGTTCTCGAACATACTTTAAAAAAATATATATATTTAGATAATTTACTGGGGGGGGGGGGGGTCCTGTTTATCTCCCCTGCCCAAGCTACGGCTATGTCAATGGAAGTTTATTTAAGGGTAGGGAAGGTAAACAATAAATATAAAATTAATGCTATTTTGCAGTGAGCATAATCTCTGTATACGCATTCTCAAGGATTACGTAAATATAAGCAAAATCACTTGAGCGAACTATCGTGTTAGTCAAAAAAAAAAAAAAAAAAAAAAAAAACAGTTTTAACTCTATAATTCTATATTAAATAAATTTACCATATTTTGATTAATCAGTCCCTGGCTGGTCTCAGCCGCCCCGTTCCCGTCTCAGAGATACACCTGTGGAATAGAAAGTAAGGATGCATAATATTTATATGGATGGTTCATTTGTTCGTTTGTTGTAGAGTTCGATAATCGAACATATTTCTGTCGTTTGAGGATACATAGACAATGTCACCTATGCTGAGAAAAGGAAATGTAGGATATAAGGGCTGATTATGAATCAAGCGAAGCATATCTTCTAAACCATTGCAGCTTCTAATGTGAATTGAGCGATTTATAAGCAGCCCCTAGACAAGTCGAAGGTGGTTCTGGTGAAGGATCTTTAACAACAAGGATGGATGGTGCGAATTTGGTTATAGCGGTCATTGGATTTATCGACACTGGCAAATGGTTTATGCAAACCTGTACTGATTCGAAGCGCAATCATTATTAGTGGTTAGGTATCCTGTTTGCGAAAACCAAACGCAAGCCAAGCGTAACAATCCAAATTAGCACGGCAGGTAAACCGAAAAAATAAACAAATTATTGAACTGAATGAACCAAAAGTCGGGTTGGAAAAGTTTCGCATTTCTCGCTCTCTTCTCCCGTGCAGGGAATTGGGTTAGCAGCAACATGATTTCATTCGGATTTAACTGGAATGTGTTTTTCTTTGCGGATGGAAAACGATGACACGGTATTTTGAATAAGTACATTTAGCAAGCGGAATTATGCCACAACAACAGATGCGAATGGAACTGAACGTGTACAATTTTGAAGCGCAACGGTAGCAAACGAAACATGTGATATTATTAAATTTTGTGCAAGTTTTATGCGTTTTTCCTCATTTGTTGAAAATTATAAAATTATTGTGCATCGCAGTATGACAGTACGGATTCCATTCTCTATAGGTTAACGACAACGGGATTGTTAAAAATAACGGAGCCAGTAGGTACAGTTCCGTGTATCGTAAATTAAATTTCCTCTTTGTAAAAATTATAACTCGATTGCTCTTCATCATCGAGATTAGAAAGTTACATTTTATTTTAAAGCTAAAATTTAATTAAAAAAATATTATTCTTTATCGATACACTCCCGGAAATCAGTATCAAGACACATTATTCATGGCTCTTTCGAATTATATATGAGAAAATGGTTTTAGTTATATTAAAACGATGAAATGCTCCTTAAACCTAGGAAAAATGCTACTGTACTGAGTAGCTACACACTTAGAAATAACTAATTTTACACATGACGGAATCCGTCTTTGACATAAAAGATGAGGCGTAAACAAACATTTCATGTAAAATTAAGTGCTACGAGTACGTTTGATTGATATAGCTCGCGTCTGTTATGACTAAAATTTATGTCAACGCTTGTATATGTCACTCTCAGAGCACCTAAATTTACATGATTTTTTCTAAGTGTGTACTCAGATTTACTGTCCTGTCCGTGTCAGAGGTGCAAAGCGACGAGCAAGTGTTTAAAGGGTTATACGGTCAAAATTTGGTCAATATCAACTTGACGTATTTCTTTCAATTTTGCATTTAAAAAACCTGAACACCCCTCATTTTGAAGGTGTGTGTGTGTAGAATGTTGCTCCTATTTTGATTTTGGAATTCACTCTTCAGTTGTCAAAATGCCGTCCAAGCAAGAAGAGCAGCGTATCAAAATTTTGCTCGCGCATCGCGAAAATCCGAGCTACTCGCACGCAAAGTTGGCAAAATCGCTAAAAGTTGCCAAATCAACCGTTACAAATGTAATTAAAGTGTTTGGGGAACGTTTGTCGACAGCCAGGAAGTCTGGATCGGGGGGAAATCGAAAACCGGAAGCCGCTGAGACGACAAAGAGAGTTGCCGGTAGTTTCAAGCGAAACCCTAACCTCTCTCTCCGAGATGCCGCAAATAAGCTGGGTGTATCGTCTACAACCGTGCATCGAGCCAAAAAACGAGCCGGACTATCGACTTACAAGAAGGTAGTGACTCCAAATCGCGATGATAAACAAAATACGACGGCCAAAGCGCGATCCCGGAGGCTGTACACGACGATGCTGACGAAGTTTGACTGCGTGGTAATGGACGACGAAACCTACGTCAAAGCCAACTACAAGCAGCTTCCGGGACAGGAGTTTTATACGGCAAAAGGAAGGGGAAAGGTAGCAGATGTTTTCAAGCACATGAAACTGTCAAAGTTCGCAAAGAAATATCTGGTTTGGCAAGCCATCTGTACCTGTGGCTTGAAAAGCAGCATTTTCATAGCTTCCGGGACTGTCAACCAAGAAATTTACGTGAAAGAGTGTTTGAATAAACGTCTGCTGCCTTTCCTGAAGAAACACGGTTGTTCCGTACTGTTTTGGCCGGATTTGGCATCTTGCCATTACGGTAAAAAGGCCATGGAGTGGTACGCCGCCAACAACGTGCAGGTGGTTCCCAAGGACAAGAACCCTCCCAACACGCCAGAGCTCCGCCCAATTGAGAAATACTGGGCTATTGTCAAGCGGAACCTAAAGAAGACCAAAAAAACTGCTAAGGGCGAGCAGCAGTTCAAGGCAAACTGGCTTTCTGCGGCGAAGAAGGTGGACAAGGTGGCTGTACAAAATCTGATGGCAGGGGTCAAGCGTAAGGCCCGGCAATTCGGATTTGGAAAAGCGGAAGCCTAACTGAATATTTTTCCTGAATTTTATACTAATTGAACTTGAAAAAGAAATTTAATTTGATTTTTTAAATAAACGATTTCACCGATTTACACGCGTTTTCCATTGACCAAATTTTGACCGTATCACCCTTTAGAATAAGCTTCTAAATGAAGATTCCAAAAAAAAGCTTAGACGATTCTAATAGAAGCTTCTTAAAAGATACTAAAAGAAGTTTCTGTTTGTAGCTCATTCAAAAGTAGCAGTGTGGATGATTCCTTACCCATTAGTTTTTTTTTGCATTCGAGTGATTTAAATCCCTGAGCCAAAAACTATCTCACTCGTCTATTTAAATCGTTAGCGTTCGGTTTCCGCGTCGGATTCTCCCTCAGTAGAGAAAATTGTTCGGCAGCCATTCAGTGTATCCTTAATTCCTACTACTGCTGTCAGTTCCGAGACTAGCTGCTGAGTCACTTGGTTGGAAGAATTTACACTCGCTCAGAAATCTGTGTGTAGGTGAGGATGACTATTTTGATTCAGTGGTGCTCGCGAGTGAATGAATTTTACCACGTTTAATTTTAAGAAGTACTTGAGAACCTATTCTGATTATCATACCAACTTGATACAACAGAGCACAGTTTTTGGTATCGTAACGTTGTTATCATTTAACAGTACATACTTAAAATTTTCTAAGATGGTCAAAAACAAAACCTTTGTAACTTTTCTCGTCGTGAACGGATTTAACTAAAATCGAAGACACCATATCAAGAAGACTGGCAACTTTGCGACAGATATAGTAGCGCTGCGCTTGAGTGACTAAATTTTCAATAGCGACCAAAAATATCCATTAGTACCGTTCCAATGACGCGTTCATCTTGATAAAATTGATGAATAGCAGATTTTCAGCGATGGGCTCAATCTTAGATCTATAGGCCAACATTAGAGCCATTTCCCCTATTGTGAATGTTTTTTTTGCTTCTAAACCCCAAGTTTTAAAGAACATTTCATCGTTGTGATATTATGTTTCCATACTGTACTTTTTTTTATTTAATTTTAAATATAAAATGATTTGGTGTAACTATTTCCTGAAGTCTGTAATACAAGTCAAAATCTGATTCTAAATACTTGAAAAATTAAATCTTGCATCAATTTTCTTGAAAAACTTACATTTTCTGTACCTTGGAGTTAATTAGGCCCCAAATTCAAATTGCCATATCTTAGCGATGTTTCAATGTTTTTTTTTATTATTTGAAATGTTTTGCAAAGTAAATTTAGTACACTTTAAGTTAAAACTATTCATACAAAAATTGGGATCTTGTATTCCTGAACATCTTTGCTGAAGGACGTAATATCCTAAACGCCACAGAATTTGCTTTGAATTCTCCCCAGAAATATTTTAGAACTGTCATAAGAATTCAATATCCTCGAGGTTCTTCTCGGAATATTTTAGAACTTTTTTCTTCTCAGAATACATTGGAACTGAAATTTCCCTCTGCATTCTCCAGAAATTCTTCCCAGAATGAGCTTGAAATTATCCTCGGAATTCCCTTGAATTTTTTCTCAACATCCCTTTGCAATTTCCTTCAAAATTTGATTCTCTCGGTATTCCTTTCGAAATAATCTGCATGATTCACTAGAAATTAATTGCAGAATTTTCATGGAATCATCCCCAGAAATCTTTTCTTTTAGAACTGTTCTCAGAATTCAATACCCTTGAGGTCCTTCTCGGAAGTCAAGTTTAAGTTGTCATTCACCAAAACGTTGTAGTCTCTCTACCAGAAATGTTCAATAAAGCTTGTTCCATGCACCAGGACTGTGCAATTTTTACATCAGGAATTTTCAATTCAGCTTGCCTCTCCATGCAGCAGATTGTTGCAAATCTTACACCAGAAATTTTCAATACAAACTTGCCCCCAGAAAATTTTACACCTGAAAATTTCAATTGAAGAACGATGCAAATTGTCCACCGTAATGTGCAAAAAATTTGCTTCTCCAATCTTCTGATTGGTGCAGATTTCCTTTTTCCATTTTCCACCAGACATTTTCAATATGGCTTGCTTCTCCTATCATCAGAATGGTGCAGGTTTTCCACCAAATAAAGCTTGCCTCTGTTTTCAGATTTTTCATCATTAATTTTCAGTAAAGCAGCTTCCCTCCAATTATCAGAATGGTGCAAATTTTACACCAGAAATTGTTATTAAAGTTTGTTTCGCTATTCAGCAGAATGATGCAAATTTAAGACCAAAAATTTTCCCAAAAGCTTGCTCATCCGTTCACCAGAACGGAGCAGATTTTCCACCAGAAATTTTGAATGCAGCTTAATTTTAAATAAAGCTTGTGCCTTCATTTACCAGACCACTGTAAGTTTTCCACCAGATTTTTTCTGTTCATTTCATTAATCAGAGCTATGCAAATTTTGCACCAGAAATTTTCAATAAAGCATCTTCCTCCATTCACTATTAAGGAGCACCAAAAATTGTCAGTGAAGTTCCCAAATAACCACCAAGCCCGCTAAATACCCGATAATTGCCCTTTTTGTGATATAAGGTAAATATAGGGTTTCCGAACTTTATATCAGTCGTATAGCAGCCTTGTATAGCAAAAAGGGCGATTAACGGGCTTGTTGGTTACTTGGGTTTGTTTCACCATGCACCTTTGTGGTGAAATTTTCAGGCTTTGCCTCTTCATGCACCAGAATGCTGCAAATTTTCCACCATAAATTTTCAATGAAGCTTGCATTCATCAAAACGATGCAAATTATGCACCAGAAAATTGAATGAACCTTGCTTCTACATTCACCACAGTGTAGCGAACTTTCCACCAGAAATTTTCAGTTAAATGTGCTCCTCCAAATTTTTGGCGTGATTCAATTTTTCCAATTTTCATTTTGATTAGTCCCTCCACCACCTTGATGATATTTTTACACCAGAAATATTCAATAAAAAGCTATTTCTTTGATTTACCATCACGACGGTGAATTTTTTTCAACCTTAAATTTGCCCTCTTCTTTTAACCATCCATGAACCAGCTTGAAAAAAAAAATTACACCAGACATTTTTGGTATGCACCACTGTGGTGCAATTTTTCGACCAAAAAATGTCATTGAAGTTTGTCCCTTCATGCACCTTTGTGGTGCAATTTTCAGGCACCATCTCAAAGGAAAGGACGCAATAAAAGGTTTTCAGTGCCCTTATTTTATGAAATGAAGTTACCTTCAAATCAAGTTATCAAGAATTCAAGTAATTTTATATCATAATTTTGTAAATGTGGAAGAAAATATCTTATTATCTTAAAAAGGGGAGCGATTGCCCCACCTTGCCCCACCCTGTGCACGCCAGTGCTGCTCTCCTATGTGTATTGATTTCGATGATGTATTTGATCTGGATCTGCGGAAGAATTTTAAATTGTTTATCGGAAAATGTATAAGAAACGAACCGAACCTATTCATTTTCTTACCAAAATTTTAAATATTGCTCAAATTTAACCAAATCTTGGAAATAGATTGGGAATACTACGCAGAACACCTTAGTCGAAGACTGCAAATCGAGCTTAGCTCAATCGATAAAGGCGCAGCTACAAATGAATACCATGCTAGAGGTGGCTGGGTTCAATTCCCGGTTCGGTCTAGGAATTTTTACGGATTGGAACATTTCTCGACTTCCCTGGGACACTGATGCAAAAATGATGCAGGCATCGAAAGCTCTCAATTAATAACTGTGGAAATGCATCTAGAACACTAAGTTTGAAAGCACGCAATAAGCTTATATGCGATAAACAAAAAGCTTGAAATGCGAAGAAAAGAAGAAGAAGAATATTTAAAATCTGATGAATTCATCCAATGACATTTTTGCAGAAGCCATAAATTCAGGAAAATAGATAATAAAAAAAACCGTTTGAAATCGATTTCTGTAATATTATCTCTTATAATCAATAATCCTTTAGTTCAACGACCTGTATGTACGTATGTTTGTAAGAAGCCACCATTCAAGCTTGGGTCTTGGCTAGCATGCGGCTCCACTCAACAGCAAGATCAAATTTCGTCATCATTCTGAATTCATCATACTGCTGTATGAAGGGCCAAACGGGGTTGGACGGGCACGTAAGCAGAGACACTTACGCGAAACTCGCAGGAATAAGAGCGTCTCCTTCCAACAATATGATCCAACAAAACAAATAACGAAATTCGCAATACATGTTACGTTGAGCAGAGTTCAACGACCTCTCCAAATAAATAATGAGATTACATTTGACGTGAACCGTGAGTAACAAATTGAACATAATTCCTACACAGGGTATCGATTTCCAATTTTAAATAATTAGTTGCACCCAATTAAAACAAATATGTCTTAAGTTTTCAGTCGTAAAATTAAATTTAAATATGGCAACACTGCAACAAAAACTTATCTTCGAATTATATTTCATGTTTTTTTTTACATCACACAACAATTAAAACAATAAATGAGAACGAATTCAAGATTTCTGACTTTTGTTTATTCAAAATGCAATAACTCAGGAAATACGTATATTACTTTTTGCTTTGTTTTCAACACTGCAACACTGTACAAAAATAATTATTTCAGGTTTAGATTTCCTGACAAACTTTCTTTTGAAAACAGTACCAGATGCTACATGTAGCTTAATTATTTCTGGGAGATATTACTAAAGGAAAGTAGTGCTTACTCAAAAATTTCGAAAAACAGAAAATGCTTACTTGGACTGAGAGGTGTACTGATCGGCACAAATATTTAGATTTTTAAAATTTGGACTTTAATCGGAAGAGGTAAATTTAACTTGCCTCGGAGACTGGCACGGAATAATCCATATCTGTTGTTGCTCAGAACATTTCATAAGTTCAGATTGACCTAGTACCTAGTGATACGAATTCTAGCACGATTTAGAGAACCTAGATTATTTTATATACATGGGCATGAACTAGTGGTTCGAGCGACAGTGCGTAAATGTCCTCTACCTTGCTTTGACACTCTTAGACGAGCTTTCACCTGCTCTGAATTAATCTTATGGTACAGCAGACGACCTTCTACCAGCGATTTTATGAAAATGATGTATTCAATTCCAGACCTTTCAAGCTTAGCATAAATAAGACCCTATTTTATCGAGGTTCTAGATGGAAAAATATAAAAATATTATTCCACGGTAAAGTTCGAGTGGTAGGAAACGTCATTTTAAACTACTCGAACGATATGATCCGTTGAGTACTTCCACAGTTACTTATTAATGGATCAAATCATTCAAGCAGTTAAAAATGACGTTTCCTACCACTCGAACATTCCGGTGGGAAGGAAATAAGGTCTCTTTTTTTTTTGAATCTCTGGTACAGGATCGTCCCGAAACTGCTCGTCCATGTAATTAATTGAGAGCTTTCTATGTCAACCGAGATTTCTTCGACTAGAGCGGGAATCGTGCCCACCCCCTCCGACTAGGCTATCTGACGCCCCTAAGCAAGTAAAACGTTTTCATCATGTTTGAATAAAAGCAAAACTGAACATTTGAATTAAGGTTAAACATCTTTTGAATTTCTATTATTGAATTAGCCATGTTTTAACGTCAACTGAAACGAAAGATTCATGAAATTGAAAAAGTGAAAAGTACATGCAATAAGTAAACATTTTCGACAGACAGTTAGAAGCGGAAGTGCACAAAATTTAACGATATTTTTAGTGGAAAGAAACAAGAGAAAACGGCAAACGAATGGCAAAAAGTGATAATTCAAACTGCTCGTGGTAATTAGTTGAAGGGGTGGGAGGAAATGCAATTGCAAAAAAAAGCGAGCTGCTTCAGTGCCGCGAGTTTACTTTCTGATCTTTTGAGGGGGGAGGTAAGACAAAATTGTTTCTGTTTATTTTGCTTCGTTAATTTCCAAAAAAGTAACTGCAATGCAATATCCTGTGACCTACTTTTTTCACACTTCTCGTTGTTGAGAATCCGTCACCGCGACGATAATTATCACCCTGTGAAAAATGACAGCGAGAAAGCGGGAAAAGTTTAGTTTTAGTTCACTACGTCAGCAGGTTAACTTTTTTGCGTTCATTTTCTGGTGGCGCAAAATTAATGAGCGTGGGAAAGTGTGTTTCTAGTTGGGTGGTGGATGGTGTGGCGCGGGCGCTTGTGAGGTGTTGGGTGTGGTGAGGTGAGAGGTGATAATGATGCTGCCTGACAGTAGAGTATAGAGGAACCGGTAATGATGGCAGTGAGGGATTACTTACTTGGTGGGATCGGAGGGTACCGAAGTTGTCGCGACCTCGGTAGTTATCACGAGCGCTGTAGCCATCTGGCTGGAACTGCAAAGGAGAGCAAAGGTTATGTAAGCAGGGAAGGGAAAGGAACGCTCATCAAATTATCGTTAATGTAGGAGATTGTTGTTTTTATTGGTACCTGGAAAAGCGTTTCCGAGTTTACACCGTGGTGGTGACCCATCGGTTTCCTTAACGTATTTTTTGGCGATTGCTGCATCTTATTCTGACTAGATGGCTGAGGTAATAGTACGGGTTCGGCGTAGGTCACTTCTTCGACCTGTGGAAGGAGCTTCGGTTCGGTTTGTATCCTGTATCCGGTTTGAAGATTTCAATAGAATGTGGAATATAAATGAATTAAAGGTCTCAACTTACCGATTGACATTTTGTCGCTGCTCAAAGTATTCGTATTCCGTATCGGGATATGGTAGATTATCATCTTCGTCCTTGTGACACCGTCGGCCACAAAAATAACCGGTGATGAATCCCACCAATAGGGCGAAAATTGCACCTGCTAGCACGGCCATTACAAGTGTTTCCACCGTATATTGAGCATTTATCAAATCAGGTGTTATTTGTGGCCCTTTGTCATCGTAACCACTTTTGTCCTGCATTATGCTGATCATGTCGTTGTCCGGCTGATGCTTATTGGGTCGTTGAGGATCGTAATCGTCTGCGGTTTGAAAATATGTTGTGAGTCACTTTGCGTATTCTGGGAGAGTTCTAGTGTACGAATCTAATGCTTGTGTAACGAGCCGTAATGAAATCCGTTGGGACAGTGGATAATCGTGATTTTGCGGACTCCACAAATTCCTAGAAATTTTGCTCTCGACACGAAATTTCAAAAAATCCCGCGAAAAGCCGCGAAATTGATTGACAATGGAAGTAGTCGATCAAAGACTATTTCGTTTTGTTGTAATAAGCAAAGCCATGCAGTATGTGTAATTAGAATAGGCGCCAAGTTAGGGAGGTATGGCATTTTTGCCCCTCACCACCCAAATAACTTCCAATAGGGGCAAAGTATCATTTTGTCCCTCAATTATTTTTGTAAGTTTAAAAAAAAATACCATTTGGCCGAATGCCGTTTGGCCGAATGCCGAACAACAAAACTTCAAAGAACTGCTAATGTTTAAAAGAAGGAAAAATCTCCTATTTTTTTTTTAAATTCTGATTTGTCTTAATTTTATGACAAGCTGCTTTTACTGTGCAAAAATAATAAGATCACCAAAACTCCAAGAACTGCTCATGTTAAAAAGGGTGGCTAAAAAAGTACCAATTGCATAACTAACGGCTTATCTTTGATTTATTGTACAGCGACTTTGCAGTCAATTTAATTGTTTATGAGAAAGTTTGAAAATACTGAGAGGTAAGCACATATCATCGGTAAGATACGTGTGTTTGAGAAAATTTGCGAAAAAATCTACCGGCACCGGTGAGATTCGAACCCACATTTCCCATTCATTACACGAGTGCATTGCCAATTATACATCGGTTGAGCTATATATATATATATGGTCTACGGAGCTTATCTTTAAAAGAATAATGAAACCATCGACAGTACAAAATTTCAGTTTTATACAATATAGGGGAAATGGATGTAATGTCGGCTAAAATGCCTCTAATTTGGGCCCATACATAAATTCAGCAATCGACTAAATTTTCAATAGCGACCAAAAATATCAATTAGTACCGTACCAATGACGCGTTCATCTTGATAAAATTGATAAATAGCAGATTTTTAGCGATGGGCCCTATCTTAGATCCATAGGCCAACTTTAGAGCCATTTCCCCTATTTGATGAAAGGGGTTCAAATAGGTAGATTTCGGCTTTTCTCCCCCACAGTAACACTCAAATTAATATAAAGTACTTCATCTCCCATATCATGCCATGAAAAAAATTGAAATCTGAAACATCAAAACTTTTTTAAGATGGTAGAGACCTAGGGGAAATGGCTATAGGGCTAAGCTTGGGCCCATCGCTAAAAATCTGCTATTTATCAGTTTTATCTAGATGAACGCGTCATTGGGATGGTACAAATGGATATTTATGGTCACTATTGAAAATTTAGTCGATTGCTGAATTTATGTATGGTGCCCAAATTTGGGGCATAAAGGGTGATACGGTCAAAATTTGGTCAAGGGAAAACGCGTGTAAATCGGTGAAATCGTTTATTTAAAAAATCAAATTAAATTTCTTTTTCAAGTTCAATTAGTATAAAATTCAGGAAAAATATTCAGTTAGGCTTCCGCTTTTCCAAATCCGAATTGCCGGGCCTTACGCTTGACCCCTGCCATCAGATTTTGTACAGCCACCTTGTCCACCTTCTTCGCCGCAGAAAGCCAGTTTGCCTTGAACTGCTGCTCGCCCTTAGCAGTTTTTTGGTCTTCTTTAGGTTCCGCTTGACAATAGCCCAGTATTTCTCAATTGGGCGGAGCTCTGGCGTGTTGGGAGGGTTCTTGTCCTTGGGAACCACCTGCACGTTGTTGGCGGCGTACCACTCCATGGCCTTTTTACCGTAATGGCAAGATGCCAAATCCGGCCAAAACAGTACGGAACAACCGTGTTTCTTCAGGAAAGGCAGCAGACGTTTATTCAAACACTCTTTCACGTAAATTTCTTGGTTGACAGTCCCGGAAGCTATGAAAATGCTGCTTTTCAAGCCACAGGTACAGATGGCTTGCCAAACCAGATATTTCTTTGCGAACTTTGACAGTTTCATGTGCTTGAAAACATCTGCTACCTTTCCCCTTCCTTTTGCCGTATAAAACTCCTGTCCCGGAAGCTGCTTGTAGTCGGCTTTGACGTAGGTTTCGTCGTCCATTACCACGCAGTCAAACTTCGTCAGCATCGTCGTGTACAGCCTCCGGGATCGCGCTTTGGCCGTCGTATTTTGTTTATCATCGCGATTTGGAGTCACTACCTTCTTGTAAGTCGATAGTCCGGCTCGTTTTTTGGCTCGATGCACGGTTGTAGACGATACACCCAGCTTATTTGCGGCATCTCGGAGAGAGAGGTTAGGGTTTCGCTTGAAACTACCGGCAACTCTCTTTGTCGTCTCAGCGGCTTCCGGTTTTCGATTTCCCCCCGATCCAGACTTCTGGCTGTCGACAAACGTTCCCCAAACACTTTAATTACATTTGTAACGGTTGATTTGGCAACTTTTAGCGATTTTGCCAACTTTGCGTGCGAGTAGCTCGGATTTTCGCGATGCGCGAGCAAAATTTTGATACGCTGCTCTTCTTGCTTGGACGGCATTTTGACAACTGAAGAGTGAATTCCAAAATCAAAATAGGAGCAACATTCTACACACACACACCTTCAAAATGAGGGGTGTTCAGGTTTTTTAAATGCAAAATTGAAAGAAATACGTCAAGTTGATATTGACCAAATTTTGACCGTATCACCCTTTATAGGCCGACATTACATCCATTTCCACTATATAGAATCGGCCTTTCTTAGATACTCGTTTACATTCAATGAACGCTAATATATGTATGCAGTAACTTGGATGCGTTTGTTATTCATCATAATCCATCTCAATGACTTAATGGCATGCTCTGTCTGGCAAAACACTACCTCCGGTTCTCCGGATGTTATAGCTACGTGTTTCAGAATATACAAGAATTTCCCGAATAGCGCGGTGGGTGTTGCCATCCACCCACCACAACTTCTTGGCTATTTTCCAATCAATTGAGCTGATTTTCTGTAGGTGTCAAGTTTATGTTTGATCAATCACATACAAAAATCAGGAGGACAGCCGAAAAATTGCGATGGGAGGACGGTACCACCCACCGCGCTATTCGATGGATTTCTGTACCTAGTGTGAGGGATGGTTTGAAATGGAATGAAAATCCCATTCGAAATCTAATCACCCGCAACCGCCGCAGTCAACGAAATATATTTTTCGAGTGGAATCCATAATTGAGCAGCTTTACGTACCTCTGTATCCTTCCTTCTCCACCTTGACAGCCTTGGAAATCTTAGGACATGCCGTGTGATCTCCAATGGCAACGTTTTGATAGTAGTAGTTATCCTCCGACCAACGTGGAGCCCCGTGCGATCGACATTTGCCCGCAATCTTGTCCCAGGCACAGTACGGATCCTGCAGCGCCACGCATTCGCTAGATTGTGAGGGAAGAAAGTAGACCACAGAAGGAAAAGCAGCACATTAGCGAAAATATGGGCCATTTGGTAAGCGCTCGACGCTCAGGAAAAGGTCATGAAAATGAATGAGCTCGGTAAAAGCGAAAACCATAAATGAAAATTTATTTCTCTCGCATTTCCCTTTTCCGCTCACTACCACCCAGCAATGAGACGAAGAAGGGTTTGCTGTCGTCGATGCGTTTTAACTTTCAATCACCATAAAGCACTATACACGTCTTCGCCTGTTTTCTCATTTTTACGTGTCCTGTGTTTAATTACCTGCAACTTGTTATCTTTTCGCTGCTGCAGCGGTGTAATTTAATCGCTATCACGGTTGTATCGGTGACTATAATTAATTTTCCATCATCATAACTTCCGTCCTTTGGCGTGTCTGCAGATAGTTGTTGTTGTTTTTTTTCGATCAATTCCGGGCGATGGCGATGGGTGGTTATCCCATGGAGGCGATAATTAAATGCGATGAAATAGAGGGAAAAGCGCGTTATTCAAGATAATAATATTCATTACCATACAATCTGCACAGGAAGATGCAATAATTAATACTTGATGAACGAGAAATCAGACGATAGACATTCGATATTTAAAATCCCGTTTTTTTTCAACTCATTAAAAAAAATGAAATATGAATCTTACTGAATGTACATCGATTTCACAACTGTTGGGTAGCATTTGCCGTTTTGCTTCTATTTCCAATTAATACCTTCTTACATAAAAGTCAGATCAGGAGCTTTTATCGCGTGAGAAATTGGCTCAATCATGGGTGCAGTCAGAGGGGGGCAGTAAAGGGGGAGATTCCCGATCCTAATTTAATAACCATATCAAATTTCCAGTAACTAATTTCCTAAATCCCAGAATCAAGATAAGTTCGACATTAAATAGGCCGAACGCCATTGGATTGAATGAGTCATAAGGCTGAACTTTAGAAGGAGGTAGATTGTACTTATTTTTTAAATCTTGAACCAGGGAACAATGCTAGAGATCTCGGACTAGTTTTTTACTTGATTACTGAAAACGAAAAATCTTTAAGATGTAGGGACTTTTGCTGCGATTCAAATACGATGTCCAATCATGAGGTATGTGGGGGAGGGGGTTTTAGAATATGTGACCGTCCGTGTAATATGTATGGAACGAAGCATGCTACAGGAGGGGAGGGGCTTAAAAACTTGTGGATTTCAGATTTGAATCGCTCCTGGTCAGATTTGTATTGCTTCATTCGTGACAAAGTTTAAGGAAATACTTCACGACGATTACAATGTTTAAGGAGATACTTAATCAATGTAAATATTTATTTATATATTTGTTTCTTACATTCAACGGATCTTTTAGAGTTCTAATGGAATTTTATTCTAAGTTATATAAATAAGAAATTTTACACACAGTTTTAACAAATAAAAGTTCCATATCAATGCACCAATTCACAACATTTACTTTCTACGTCTATTTTCTACTTTTCTTATTATACACGGAGTTGAGGCTCCCACGTGCTATACCTCTCACAAAATTCTCTAAAGCAGATTCTGTTAGGTCACGTTGAAGGGCGTAGGGCTTGATCCTTAAATTTGACATTTATTCCAACCTTAAACGAGATGGAAGGTAGCACGTCCCTACTGGGACTTTACACCAGCCCTTAGTATTCAAGTTGTTGCTAATTGAGAGCTTTCTTAGCCTGTATGCCATTTTTGCATTAGGATAGGTGTGTGGCAAGTACAGTAATACCCATAGGAAGCCGAGAAATTTTGCAATTCGGCCGGACCAGAAATCGAAACTCAGCTGCCTCAGCATGGTCATGCTTTATAGCTGCGCCTTTACCGACTGAGCTAAGGGAGGCCCTTTAGCATAGATATATCCGTCCTATCTAGAACTATCTTCTTCACAAAGAAAGTGTTGGAAGAACCAAGAGATTCAGCATCCATAGCTTGCATTTCATGTTCCGTCACATCGATATTTAAATGGTCGTATAATCTCACTCAGAGCGAGAATAATTTATACTCAGATGAAAGAGAAATTTCAAAAATCGAAAGTTACTTACCGTTTGAAATCTGAATCATTATTACAGTTTTGTAAATGTCCATGAGAAGCTAATTTTTTCAGTCCATTCAATTTATTGAGCTGACGGACGGTCGACATTCCAACTCAAAATATGAGCCTATCCGACATCAAGTAAACTTCATCCAGCCATCCAACATAAACCCATCAGTCATCCGACACGAGCCCGACATTGTATCTACATTGCCTTAACGTTGACCTGACACTGATACAACATTGGAAAACTCAAAAAATACCACATGCTATCATCATGTGTCTCACACTTAATTGAGCACTTATTGTGAAACACATCCATTTCATGAGTGAATCTTATGCTGTGAACCATGCCTCAACACCTGACGAAGAGTCGCGAAGAGAGAAAAATGGAACGTCAAATGTAGCCAGACGGCTACTGTCACGAACTGTCATTGGGAGCCAAGTAATTTTATGATGCTTTTCTTACAGTTGAACAAGAATACACAAGGCGGTATTCAAATCTTGCGTAAAACAATTTATGACAAACTGTTGTTTCCACCTATTTTATTCAATGGGACACCGTTTCTTTTTAATTCATTCAAAATACACACAAATCAATTTTGAAAGATACCATCAATTAAGGGTTTGTCAAAACATCTAGTAGCGTAATAAAATACCAAACAGAAAAGTACAGTTTTTCACTGCACGCTGAATAATCTCAAACAATCACTACACGCTCAAAGCAAAACACGCGATTTTGCTACACCTGTTTTGATTTGATTTCAATGGCATACATTTTCATGACAAGTAGAACAAGTATGCAATGAATTCCGTGTGTGCTATCTGCTTCTCCCTCCCAGCTCAACACTATTGGTTCGAATTGTGACACACTTGGAGTCTATGTACCTCACATGGTGATATCAATAGCTTTGCACATCATAGTTCAATGTTGTACAATATTCTACTTTATCGACTTCTACTTTACCGACTCCAAAACCGAATCGAAAAATACATAAACAAAGCAGCCAGAGGGCAGAGCTTACATGCAGGTTTGCTGTTTTTCCCATCGATGGGATTACCCAGCCAGCAGTGACTGAAAAGCGCAGCAAGAAGAGGAAGAAGAATCGGGCCCAGTCCGATGGTACGATTGGTCGCGACGACGTCACTGCGACGAACGGCAGTGACGTTGGAGATTTCGGTTACGCTACCGAAACCGAAAATGTTGCACATTAGAATAACCAATTAACTAGAACAAAGGAAAACAGCCAAAGGCTAACCTATCGAAATGGTAAATCAATGTTGAAACATAAAAAAAAAACAGCAAATAAACGTAAATTTTACTTTAAAAAAATAGCTTCCACTATCAGTTGCCTTCCAAATAGTCGACTTGATCGGAGGGGAAAAAAGAGCAGCGGAAAAGGATGTCGTTTCCAAAATGCTTCTGCCAAATCGCATCCACCGCTACCATCAGTCCCAGCCCAACAGTGGAGCAAGTCGGAGCTCGGTCATAACATTTAACAGAGGGGGAGGGAGAGGAAGAGTAACGAAAATTTTCATCACGTCTGTCAAATCGCTTCCACTTGTTCAGTCAGACAGTCGAGCTGGACGAAGCTATGAGGCATCACTCAGGGTCTAGGCGCCTAATGTACAGGTGCCATAGAAGGAAGAATTCTCGATTACTTTTTCGAAGGACATATCAGGTTTTGTAAACAACGCATAGCATCGGCAGCCTCCGGATACTGCTCGGCATGTTCCCGCGCGTTCAAGTTTTTCACGTACTGTGCGGAGCAAGGCGAACAAGTCGAGCCAAAGATAACCACATCCATCAAGTACGTTTCCACCGCTCCGTTCGGACCCACGAATAGGAACCGTTGTAAACGAAGTTCGGCAGCGATTCTACATTCCGTGTCTCCGAGCGCTAGTAGATCAAGTAATGCGAGCCTGTGTGTGGTGCAAGCCAATTGTTCCGAGAATAGCACCCTTACCAGGACATCGTTTGGCGGCGAGGGCCGATCCGTTTTCGTACGTCGGAATAGACTATTTTGGTCCACTGGAAGTGTCTATTGGCCGAAGGAAGGAAAAGCGATGGGTGGCACGGTACATTTGGAGGTGGCGTACAACTTGACGACTCAGTCGTGCAAAATGGCGATCAGGAGGTTCGTATAGCGGCGTGGCAGTCCGATCGAGATCCTTTCGGATAACGGTACGAACTTTGTCGGTGCCAGTCAAGATCTGCTGAAGTAAATCAATCTAGCGTGTGCGGATACGTTTACCGGTGCGAGGACCCGTTGGACTTTTAACCCACCGGCTGCCCCACACATGGGAGGTGCGTGGGAGAGAATGGTGCGCTCGGTGAAAGAGGCACTAAAAACGTTCACAGATGGTCGGAAACTGACGGACGAGATCCTGCAGACAATACTGATCGAGGCGGAGAACCTGATCAACTCTCGTCCACTCACCTATGTATCCGCCAACGTGAAGGAAGACAAGGAAGCATTGACGCCGAACCACTTTTTGCGTGGTCGTTCATCGGTCGAGTGTCTGACGTCGAGGAATCCGGTTGACCTGGCCAACGCGTTGCGTACACGAAACGAAAATCAATTATTTAATTCATGTGTTTCACTTATACATTTTTGCCAAAGCATCAGCCTTATACATTGCATAAGACAAACCACATAGGTCCTATTAGAATGCATAAAAGGTATGTGTGACCACTTATACATTTCATTTGACACATGATCTTTATTAACTTTTTGCAAGGCGTCTGCTTATTAGTTGACTTATACAATTTATGAATAATCAGCAATGGAAATTTGCCAAAAGGTATAAGGAGATTTCTATCCGTGTAGTAGCTACCATCGCGCACAGTTCTTGGCGGATGGATTCTGGGATCGTTGGCAGAGGGAATACCTGCCGATGTTAAACAAGAGGTCTAAGTGGTTCGTGGATCAGCGGTTGGAGATTTGGTGTTCGTGGCAGATGAAGAGAAGCGAAACGTCTGGGAGCGAGGCGTGGTGAAGAAGGTGTTCGTTGGGAGTGACGGAAGAGTCCGTTCAGCGTCCGTTCAGACAAGCAGAGGCGAGAAGGTCAGACCGGTAGCGAAGCTAGCCGTTCTGGAGGTCACTTCGAAGGAGTAATCCCCGTACTGTTCCTGATGGAACCAGCCACAGGGTTTACGGGCGGGGGAATGTTGCCGTTGCAGTCAGGCTTGGTAGGGTTGCGGTAGACTCCATCATGATAGATGTGATCGACAATTTGGCGTAACTGGTAGCTCGCCCACGCATTCTAACACTACCCTCAGATAGGGGAATTGTTCCCTTACCGATATGGTGTTAGTATGCGTGGGCGAGCTACCAGTTACGTCAAATCGAT